TATAAGTGTAAAAGAAGAATTAAAAGAGTTGGATGAATTAGATTGGAGGGGAAGGGGTAGGAATAAAATTTTGGAAAGGGTGAATAGGTGGATACGCGTATTGTTCGCAGGATACTAGGATGCTGAGGTTAAAAACAATTGGAAGAAAAAGGAAGAACAGAAGCAGAAGCAAAAGCAAGGGAAGGAATAAGAGATGGTGGGAGGTAGAATAGGTAGGTAAAGGTAGAGGAGAAGAACAAGGAGAAACCCAATGGGAGGAGGGTAATAGAAAGGAGGGTTAGATGGTGGTGTAATGAAGAGCGACAGTGACGCTCCCGGCCATCACTAATTTGCCACTAAGTGCCCGGCTTTGTTTCCGTACGTTGATCCCATCGTTTGCAATATCCTGGATTCGAGACGATGTAAGTATAGTAGTACTTGTACACCATTGCGTTTTAGAGAGAAAGCCAAATAACCCGCGGTACCATACTAGGTACTATATAAGATGTCTTACAACCCCTAACTATAATATCCTATTTCTCTCTCTCTCTCTCTCTCTCTTAATTATTTTTCTTTTTCTTTTTTTTCTTTTTAGTTTGGTTTAATTTTCTAAAAGATTTTAATAAGTAGAAAATTCGTCATATTTAAATATATTTCGTATTATATAAATTATTTTATTATTTAGACAAAATGATAATTGATTTAAAAGAATTTTTATGTAAGTTTTCTTTTTTTCTTTTTCGTTTGGTTTAATTTTCTAAAAGATTTTAATAAGTAGAAAATTCGTCATATTTAAATATATTTCGTATTATATAAATTATTTTATTATTCAGACAAAATGATAATTGATTTAGGAATTTTTAAATCAATAAAATATAAATAACATAATATGCGTGTATGTTAGAAATTTTATGTAAGTTTTCTTTTTTTCTTTTTCGTTTGGTTTAACTTTGTAATGGGTTTTAATAAGTAGAAAATTCGTCATATTTAAATATTACGTATTATATAAATTATTTTATTATTCAGACAAAATGATAATTGATTTAAGAATTTTTAAATCAATAAAGTAAATAACATAATATGCGTGTATGTTAGAAATTTTATGTAA